TAGCTGAGTATCTTCCCGTCTCCTCCCTTCCGATACACTAACCCATAGTTGATAGTCCCTTTGATGTATCGCAAAATTTGCTTAACTGCTTTGAGGTGACTTTCTCGTGGTGACTCCATGAATCTACTAACGACACCCACTGAATAACTTAGGTTTGGTCTGGTGTGAGTTAAATAACGCAAACTCCCAATGAGACAACGATAATGTGTAGCATTCACCAGCACTCCTTCATCTTTGGTCAGGTTAAGCTTCAGTTCCATGAGACATTTTGCTAAGTTGCAATCAAACATGCCAGCTATCTGTAATATCTTTTAAGCATACCTCCTTTGGCAAATAGAGATTATGTTCTTGCGTTGTTGAACTTCCATTCCAAGATAGTATGACAATTTCCCAAGATCACTCATGTCGAAAACTTACCGCATTTTCCTTTTAAACACACAAATTCCTTCTTCACTCGAACCTGTTACTATCAAATCATCAACATACACTCTAACAATTAGTACAAATTTTGATTCTTGGCATTTGTAGACAACTTGTTTTTGGGGACACTTTTGAAAACCAACTCCTTGAACATTTTATCAAGCTTGACATTCCAATCTCTTGGTGCTTGACGTAAGCCGTAGAGAGCTTTATTTAGCTTGTACACCATGTGTTTCTTTCCTGCAATCACAAAACCATCAGGTTGAGTTACATACACCTCCTCTTGTAAGTCACCATTCAAGAAGGTCGACTTTACATAGAGGTGGTCCACCTGCCACCCCTCAAAAACAGCCAGAACTAACAGCGAGCATACTGTTTCTATCCGAGCCACCGGTGCAAAAACCTCGCTAAAATCAACGCATTTTCCTATATGTATCCCTTCGCTACAAGCCTCGCTTTGTGTCGTACTACTTTTCCATCAGAATCTCTTTTTAATTTGAAAACCCACTTCCACCCTATGGGTTTTTTACCACGAGGCAGATCAGTCAACATCAAAGTTCGGTTTTTTTTCAATCGACCGATGCTCTATTTTCATTGCGTCTACCCATTCTCGGTTACACGCTGCTTCAAAATAAGTTGTAGGCTCATCTCCAATGAACATCAATTCCTCTTGTTCATCTTCCATTTCTACCGATTGTGTTTCATCATAAATGTCGTATAATGATCGAGACCCTCGAACATGTGTATGATCGTAGGTAGAGTTGTTGATGCTCTGATTACTTCCTGGTGTTTCAATTGATGTGCTTCCTGTGCTCGAAGATAAAATTGATGAGTTACCTAACCTGGTTGTTAGAGTTGATACTGGTGATATCGGGTCACTTGTGTTGTAACGCCCCAAAATTTAAGTCCAAAAATTTCATTTTTAATTAAGTGCTCATAAAACATTTACTAGAAAATATTAAATCAACACGTCATCTGATAAAATCAAGTATCATGTTTCAAACCCACAACATAAGCAAATAACATATCAGAGTACAATCCCAGAAAACAGCGTGTGGAAAGATCAAATGTGTGTGTGATGCCATACTACGCCGCCGACTCCTTCCCCATAGATGAAGAGGTACCTGAAACCAAAAACTGAAACCGTAAGCACAAAGCTTAGTGAGTTCCCCCATCATACCACATACCAAACAATACCATCGGTATCTTTCAACCGGTAATCATAATCAGTATCTTTCAACCGGTAATCATCATTGGTATCTTTCAACCGGTAATCATAATCGGTATCTTTCAACCGGTAATCGTCATCGGTATCTTGCAACCGGTAACTGGGGACTATTCCACCCCTACAACTAGCATACAATAGCAAGATGTAAGCACATAGTCAAGCATATCCAGGTACTGACCTACCCCTTGATCCTAAGGACCACTATCAGGGAAGCTATCCATATCATGTAATATATCATACATACATGACTCATAAACAAATGCATACCAGACCAAGATAAATTATCACAAAGACAATTATCATCTAAGTACTCCTCATTGGTGGGCCGACATTGTGGCCTTAGACCCACCCCTACTGGAAGGTAACTCACCTCGTACAAGTAGCTACTGCTAATCAGTGCGGGAAACCTCCTTCCGCTGCTGCTCTGGAAATCCTCCGGCTACAAACCCCATAAGCACTTAGTTAGAAACGAATCTCTATACTTAGGGTAAAATGACCATTTTACCCTCAACCAAGTCAAGTCAAAGTCAAAGTCAACTTCCAGTTGACTCGACTCGCCGAGTTGGGTCATCAACTCGTTGAGTCCCTCACTCTCTACTCGTACCCATCCGCGACTCTACTCGTCGAGTTGGGCCGACAACTCGACGAGTTCTTCTCCCATTCGAAAGCCACAAGGAAACTCATCCGACCCACCGAGTTGAAGAACAACTCGTCGAGTTCATCATCAACCGAGACTCATTTCCTGCCCTGACTCGTCGAGTTGTATGAACAACTCATCGAGTTCCTCTTCATCCTATGAACATGTTCTGTCCTTGACTCGCCGAGTTGTATGAACAACTCGCCGAGTACCATAAAGATTGCCTTGGACTCGCTAAGTCCGTTTATGCACTCACCGACTACCATGAATTCACAGAACACTTTGCTTAGTCCAGAACGTTGGGTCACTCCCCGAGACTCCTAAAACCCTTCAACACTCAACTGGTCCTTATGACCCTCACTGATATAGGACCAAAACCCTTGGACTCACCGAGTCCAGGAATGGACTCGCCGAGTCTATCACATTCCTTACTAAGAGCTTCAATTTCTGAGGTACAACACTTACCCAAATGATAGATACAGGCCCCTAAACTTGATCTAGCACATAAAGTTACAAACTTTACGTGCATGCATGGGACATTAGCGCTTAAAAGGCTCTAAAATGGTTCTTTTGTTGCATGGGGCCTTCCTTGGTGCAAAAAGCAACCTAGATCTGACTTGTGGTTCATAAAATGACATGATACAGAAGGCCAACCCCCAATCATGTTTGCAAACATGGTTGGCCACCAAAAATGGCTTATAAAAGCCTTAAATCACCTCAAAGAGGGATCTAACAAATGAATGAGCAAGATTCAGACTTTATACCTTCCAAAGACTGCAAATGATGAACCAAACTCGAATCCTTCAGTCCCCTCATGATCCTTCTATGCTCTTCCTTCTTCCTTGAGGTCAAAACTCACAAGAATCACTCAAAAAGCCTTAGATCTACTCAAAACAGCTAGGGTTTGCTATGAGGCATGTTTGGGAGCATAAAGGGGGAAAGGAGGCTGCATAAGGTCGCTTAAATAGGGTGCAAACCCCTGGATTAGGGTTTTTGTCCAAACAACGGCTACTCGCCTAGTTCGGGACCCAACTCACCGAGTCCGCAGCTCAAACCCCGCGCCTCATCCCGCTTCTACTCGGCGAGTCAGTCCTTCGACCCGTTGAGTCCAAGGCTAAAATGCAAAAATAAATGAAGATTTAATAACAGAATACATACCAAGAACCAGGTGCTACATGTGTCATCTGTAATAGGGCTAAGATCTTCTTCACCTGGTTGATTTTGGCTTTGTGCCCTTCTTTCTACTTCAACATGTAACACCGTAAAAATTTTCAACAAATTTTTCGCTTTTCAAAAACATAATAATTTATTATAAAAATCACAATGTATCTCAAGTCATAAACATCCATCTCAAAATATAAATATCCAAAACATTTCCCCAGAATCTCATCAAAATACTCCCACAACGTGTACAATCAAGCTGGCGCCTTCTCGCGATCCTCGCTGGTACCTGAAACACATTTCACACAACACGGTAAGCATAAATGCTTAGTGAGTTTCCCCAAAATACCACATACGGCACATACGCCACTCAAGGCCACAATATGACCCTCTGGTCGATGTGTCTTAGCGGAACCCTCTAGTTCCGTATCGTTGGGCCCTCCGATCTGGTCTGTCTCGTTGGACACTCCAGCCCGATCTATGTCATTGGACCCTCCGGTCCGGTCTATTCCACATAGCATACATATATCACAACACATATACACAAATAGCACATAACATAAAAGACCCTCTAGCCTGCTCATGGTTACCAAACTAGGTAATGTATAGTGAGAAGACTCACCTCGGGAATGTCTCAGAAAATCACAACTCGGTATCTTTGAACCTCGGAATGACCTAGCCCCGCCTAATCACATAAAGTAATTATTTCAATCATTAACGGCTCTCAAGGCTAGACTACACCCCTTTCTACCATCCCCCAGAAGGGTAAAAGATCATTTTACCCCTTCCTGATCCAACATCACAATTGTTGACCAAAACCATAAAAGTCAACAGTCAAACTTTGACCTGACTCGTCAAGTGCACTTGGGCGACTCGGTGAGTCTACACGTGTCCACAAATTCTTTTGTCCCGCTTGGCACGTCGAGTTCCTCCCCTTGATCGACGAGTCACACCTGGCATGAATCGCGGGGCCACCCCGACTCAACTCACCGAGTCTCAAGAACAACTCGGCGAGTTCCACCCTGAACTCCAGCCCTCTAATCCCCCTCTGAATCACTGAGTTGTTTCCCCAACTCGGCAAGTCTACCCATTGAGTGATTTATGGGAAACCGTAACCTTACTCGCCAAGTCTGATCTTTGGAAACCCACCTGGCTTGATGTTATTTTTTCTCTTACTTTAGTCTTACAGTTCGACTAATTCCTAAACATTGCCATAATATGCCTCACCATTCGATTCTTGGGTTAAAGCTCGGTGGATCAAATTATATGCTAAACGTAACATTCACGTTTGTAGGTAAAATATTTCTAGACTTGAAAAACAGTTCGAGTCAATAAAAAGGTTAGATATCAGTTCGGGGCAATAAAAGAACAAGATGAACTACAAACAACTTCCATGACCATATGAACAGGAAGAAAAAAGGACTCGAACATATAAAGCAAAAGTCCATTTTCATTTAGCAAGATGCCATAAGAAAATAACAAAACAAGCAAACCCTCCTAGCGGCAGGGGTGAAATCAAAAAGTAACGATTACATCTTCAAACCAATACTAAAATTAACACGATCCAACTTCATCCTCTGTGGAACAACCCACAACCTTCAACAATTTTTTCATACCACCCACGTCCATTCCTTCATCCCCTAGAGCAGATAAAAGGGAGTACTTGTACGTTGTCAGCTCAGAAAAATGATCAATAATTTGACGTTGTGCATCTAGGTAAAAATACAAGACACTCTTATCCTTCAATTCTTTAGGGTATTTTTTCTTCATGTCAACACAAGCTTGATGAAGGCCAAGTTGGATGGCGAATGTCTGCAAGGTAGCATTCACAACACCAAACTCTCTTGAATCTAATAAAGCACGAACAAAAAGAGGAATTCCTTCTTTCACAACCCACTGCAGTTCCTCGGCTCCCTGGTCCACTCTTGCCTGGCAAGTGGCCGCTTTATGTTCCGTCAGGACTTGTGCATCATTTAAACATAGCAATTTGAGCATCCCTTTCCAACATCAAGAGTTTCATCATAACCAACTCCTCCTCCAATAACTTAATGCTGACATCCTTACTCAAACAAACAATCTCCAACTGTGAAACTTTCTATGTGTATTGCGAATTAAATGATTGATACAGCTAAGAAACACCTTCGAGCTCTTTAACGGCTAAGGCACGATGGCCAAAGCATCATTTATCCTCATTTGCAAGTCCTGGTTCAACTTTTTCAGCTCCTCCTACTAACCAATAGATCGAATCATCCGCTACCAGAATTTGGTTCCTTTCTGACAAACCAGGAACCTCTTCCTTCAACTCTTTGGCTTCTTTCTCCATCTGTTTGTGAAGGACCCGCAACTGTTTTAGCCCTTCCAAATCTTTTTCTAAAACAACCTGGCACTGGAAAAGCTCCTCTGAGCATGTTTTCTTGCGGAGGGACACTTCATTCAACAAGTAAACCCCTTCCATCAAGCATGGCCGAGACTTATCAAGTGCTTCCTCATCAGAGAGAACCCCGATTTGAAAACGGTTCGGAGGAACAATGGTCACAGTGAAAGGACGCTGAAACTGGGGAATTGATGCAGCAAGGGTAATCAGTGTTGGCATAACGGCTTCATTTCCTATTATGAAAATAGCTTCATAAACAATAAAACAACCAAATCATAACAAGGATACAAAAAATATAAATCGAAGAAAGCAAACATCGATTAAGAAAGAAAAGGTGTTGGATTAGGTGTCTAATCCCATAACTATTATTGGTATGTACTTGACCCGAGAGTAGCATGGTCCATTTGGGTTGCATGGCATCGAAACAATTTGGATAGACTTTTGTGAGAATATGATATTTATGATTTATTAATATATTATAAGTTCTAATATATTAATATGAAATCATATTATTTAGTTAGTATTGATCAAGAAGTAGTTTGGAATTAATTTTGTGATCAAAAGAGACTAACTAAATAAATGGGGATTGATTTGGTAAATCATTCATTTTTATAAAGTGGGCTTATGATCCATAGTTCTTCGTGTTGGGCTAAACCCATGTAGTGACCCACAGATACTCTATGGAGGTTAAAACCCATGGATCATGAGGAATATGGAAAGCCATGAGTTACATGGTGTAACCCTAATGTGTACACTATATAAGAAGCCTCATAGCTCATGAAATGTGACCTAGAGTCTTGGTAAGGAGGGCTAGCCGATTTCATGAAGTGAAAGTGTTCTTCTCTCAAGTTATTCCAATTCTTGGTGGTGTTGTGTGATTCCATTTGAGGTTCAGCACTTGGGGTACTAAGTTCTTAAAGGTACAAGGCTTCCAACTACAACAAAAGGTATGTCATCATAACTAGTTTCATTACCTAAGTATCAAAGTTTTGTATGCTAGTTAGAGTAATACCTTGGAAAGTACAAGCTTGCATGTATAATAGAGAAAACATAGATCAAAGGTATTTAGGGTTGCATGTACACCTTAAGAGTGTTAGAATACTCAAAACCCAACAAAAGGAACATACGACCCAACAAAGAGGGAGGATTAGAGATAATTACCTCTGTGTCCACAGATTCGTTTCCCACAGGCTCCTTGTTCTAAGTCATGGTATCGAAGAGGATAGGGATAGGTGTAACAACCGAAGAATCAGTGGTCGACGCCACAAAGCAGCCAAACCCAGACCTAAAGAGTTTTTGCTGGAACACAGTGGCAACATAAAAGCTCTTAGGATTTTCCTTTTCTAAAAGGGGGTTTTAGGGGGATTCTTAGCAGCATCCTCCGATCCTGATTTGGCCAATTGGGATGCCTCTGCCTCGCTTTCCACATGTTTCATTTTTCTATCTGGTTCGATTAGACATTCGTGGAAGACGGTGATTATAGGGCCTTTCAAGTTACGTTTAGAGCCTGTAACATCGAGAATAGCATAATTATCAAGATCATTCAAACTTTGGCTTCTTGTTTCTCGACCAGAATGTTTCCATTTGGGAAGAGACATTTGAATGAGCTGGTCATTTTGAGCACTTTCAGAATGCTTCTTTAAGATGAACCCTATCGAGGAAGCTCTTGTAGACACTATGGGAGGTCTACCATGATCAGAATCCAATTTCACACCTTTAGAGAAAAGGTTAGGAGGAACAGATTTATAGATCTCTGACTGAGAAACCTCTAGAGTGGAATCCATGTTGGATTCTGAATGATTCGAGGAGTCCGGGATCATCACATCCTCTGTAACTAGGGCAAGGTTCACATTATGCTTTCGATGAAGAAGATCAAGAAGGGTTATAGTTTTTCCCTCAAAAATTCCCACAGGTTTCTTACCTAAGTGATTCCATTGGGGACTCATTCCCGCCATACCCAACACTGTTTCCTCAAGATCTGCCCATCAAACAAAGTTGCTTGCTAACCTCTCTGTTATCAACAGTTCTTCAGCTGAGAGTTCAAGGGCGAAGTCGACAGCCTTGTCAGCAATTGCACCATACTCCATAGGACCAAAAAAGGCAGAGGCATGAACGTAGAAGAACTCTTCCTTCCAAAATTTGATAGAAGTAGGAAGACCATCACATAACTCCACCGAACCATGGCGAAGGGAGAAGGAAACCTAGTCTCCATTGGACATAGGAAGGTAGAAGTAGAAAAACAGAGTAGTAGATGGTGACACATCTAGGGCAACGCACAATAGGGTAAAGAAAAGAACCTTACGAAAGCCATTGTGGGTTATTTGGTCGATGTGTAGACCATAGTAATCTAGAACGGTTTCAAGGAAATCGAAAGTAGGGAGATGCCACCCAAACTTGGAGAATACTCGATAAACCCCCACGAGGCCTTCAGGAGCTTTAGTAATGGCATAGTTGGCGTCCGACAAGCGAGGGTGGAACTTGGGATCGATATGGTACTTTCGAACAAGCGTACCCATGGTTCAAACGGTTAATTTGGATTTCACCATTCCTATCTGAGAAATTCCAGTGCTTGCCATGTTTACAAGAGAGGGAGAAAATGAGGAAAGGTTGATAGGAAAAGAAAACTGACTATAAATGAAAGAGGGAATGGTGAAACGAATGGTTTAAAACCAAATATTTATAGCGAGTCTAGAGAATATGAAGATTAATAGGTAGACAAAGTGGTTGGTGGATATTGTACCCCTATTCAAGTAATAGCAGATGAAGAGACGGTTATAGGGATCACCATTAGGCCTAGAGTCAACATGTCACGTCAAAGTTAATTCAGGAGTTTTGCGCCCCTATCCAACCATAACGGCTATAATATCGCTCTTACCAAAGTTTTCATCCATACTCCATCCAATACATAGAGTTACAAACTGGGGGACTTAATGGGGTATAATTCGGAAATACCTCTATCCTTTCGTGGACATCCCGAACTGGCATGTTCGAAGATGCGCGAGTCATTGAACAGCGAATTGGCATAACAACTTTTAAGGTGTTGGGTCAAAATATGGTTTATAGTTTACTTTTCTGGGCAATTATATTTTTCTGTAATATTTATGATTTTATGGCCATGTTTACGGTTGAGTTTACGGCCGTAAACTCATTTACGACTGATTTGTTTCCGGCCCATGTTCCCTTAGTATAAATATAGGTATTAGGGTGTGAGGAATAGATTGATGAACCCTAGAGAGTTTACGGCTAGAGAGACAGAAGAACTATTGTGTGTTAGTGTGTGTTTGTGAATCTCTTGTACCCGGATCATCATTCTATTCATTAATACATTGAGATTCATCATCTTCTTCTTCTCATTCTCTTCTATTTGATCTGAAATCATCTGTTTAATTGGGATTCCGCACCATCAAACGGATTTGATTGATGCACAAGCAAATTAGGGACTTACAATTGGTATCAGAGACAAGTTGTATCAGTCAATGTTGTCAGATTTGGGGCATTATTTGATCTTATTTTCGAATTATTTTTGCGTTTTTGGATAAATCTCTGAAAATTAAGAGGGGTTTGTTCTTTGCATTTTTTATAAAAACGAGTTTTTGATCGAGTTTTTGAGCAAAAAAAAAGTGTGAAAAACGTCGTTTTTTGAAGGGTTTACGGCCTTTGAAGGGTTTCCGGCCGTAAACAGTTTGCAGCTAGGGTTTCTCAGTGGCGGCGGCTAGGGTTTCGGAGTTCACGGCCCGAGGTTTGCGTCTCGTAGACAGCTCGGAATTTGTGGCTCTGTCTAGATTGTCTCGGTTCGCACATCGTCCTCGCCTCGCACCTTGCATCTCGCATGGCAGCTGTGTCTTCAGTTCGCACTTAAAAAAACCAGAACAGAATTGGGGCGGTGCCAGGATTTAAACCCGGGTCTCCTCCATAGAAAACCAACGCCTTACCAGATGATCTACATTGCCACATGTTTCTTACCTTCCGTTTTTTCATTCAAAACCTCTCCTTTTCGCATCTAAATTTCGAAAATTGGCACTTTTAACCCCCAAAATCAATTTCTTTTATTTGTAAAACCTCATTTCCAATAATAAAATATTAAATATAAATATATATATATATATATATATATATATATATATATATATATATATATATATATATATATATATATATATATATATAAAAATTAGTTTTTAAATTTTGACTTTTATTTAAAATTTTAACTTTGACTTCCATGTTTGACCTTTAACTTTAAACTTTGACTTTTTCGTTTAACTTTTAAACTTTCAAATGTAATTTTTCGGTTTGACTTTTGAGTTTAACCTTTTAAATTTGACTTTTAAGTTTAACTTTTTTAATTTGACTTTTCAAGTTTGACTTTTGAGTTTAACTTTTTAAATTTGACTTTTAAGGTTGACTTTTGAGGTTTATAATCAAAGGGTTTGACTTCTTAGTTTTATTTTAGCTTCTAGTTGTGCTTTTTAATTGATTTTAAGGTTTACGAGGGAGTTGAAACATGAAAGAGAGTCATCACGATATGTTAAGACAAAATTTCAACATTTTCGATTATATCCCTGGAGAAACCCTCGAAACTCAGTTGCAGCGATTCACTACACTCACTACTGAGATGAATATAGTCGGGATCTTCTTGACAAAGTCCGAGCTAAACAAAAAGCTGCTAAATTCACTTCCGAAATCGTGGGATATGAACGCGACCATCATCAAGAAGACAAAAGATCTCAATCATCTTAGTCTTGCTGATATAATTCAAGAACTTGATGCTTTGAAGTCTAGAGAAACAATGAGTTCTGAAAACATTCCGGTCACTGAAGTTACATGTACTCCAGCTTGTGAAGCCACGATTAAATTTCTTCGGGAACAAATTGATATATTTAAAAGAGAAGTTGAAGACCTGAGATATGAAGGATATCAACTCAGGAAAGGACAGAAACCCCTGAAGGCTGGGTTAGAAGCAAAAACCAAGGACTTTAGGAAACTTCAGGAAAAGTATAGCAACAAGTGTGAAAATTATGATTATGTTAAGAGTCAACTTGCTGCTGTAACTGAAGAACTTGATGCTTTAAAAATTAAGTGTGGAAAAACTAATGTCAGTTTCAAAAATTATACTGCGTCAAGTCAGACAGTCGAGTCCTTATATGAAAACCAGTTAAAATTCAAAGAAAATCAAAACAAGGGTCTAGGGTATGATAGTGTACCTCCTCCTTATAATCATAACTACACATCCATCCCTATGACACACAATGAAACTGACAGGGAGCCACATCTTCAATATGGAAAACGAGTTGGATTTGTGTCAGGATGAGTTATTAATATTGAAGATTCTAATGTTGCTACTCCTTGTGCAGGCAAAGTAACAGAGGATGAGAACAAGGAGAGTTCTTCTGAACAAACAAACGACCCCTTGAACTCTGAATTTGTTGCCTTTAATCAACCTCCTGTTGGTAAATACATGCCACCATTTCAAGCTAAACAGAGTGCCTGTGGCAAGTGTGCATGTGGGAACAACAAGAGACAAGGCAAGGATACGCCACCAGGGATAGGAAGAGACAACTCCCTAGTGAAGAAAAGGACATGCTTTCACTGTGGAACACATGGTCACATTGCCCACAACTGTCCAAATCGTGCATACGTTCCCTACTATGCACAAGGATGGAAAAATGCGCCAAGTGGGAGATATTTCAAAAGAAACCCTTCCAGGTCACGTTCAGACCATGATGACTGGAACGCGCAGAAGGCCAAGAATCAAACTCCAAAGGACAAGAATCTGAATCCCAAAGTCAAGAAGGGAATGTTGGCCCAGAAGTCTAGTTCAAGAGATACTCCTGTGAAGCCAAGACCGGTTAGGTCAAAGTCATCTAGGCAACTGGCTTCAAGTTCTAAATCAAGTACTGAGCCACCCATCGGATCGAAAAAGAAATGGGTTAAACCCAACTACAAATGGGTTCCGAAGGCTCAATCTCCCAAATCAACTAACGACTCTAATATTTCTACATCTTCTGTTTGTGATAAGAAGGACATGTCATGGGAGAGAGTACCATGCAGGGATTACAAAGGTCGACCCAGTTTCAAAATGGACTGTGTTCCAAAGACCAGCTGATCCCGCTTTGTGTCGAAGCAGCTATGGAGTCATATCATCAGACTTCGGTTGGTTGGTAGTGGCTGCTCCTAGCATATGATTGGGGACATCTCTCAACTGTACAACACTCAGAACATTTGTTTGAGAGTATGTGTCCTTTGAGGGAAGGGAAGAAAAGAAGTGATCACTCACGGGGTTTGTGCTTAATGACATGAAGAATTTTCGGATCTGTTATGAGATTACACATGCTATTCTCAGACCTTCTGGATGCAAATTCAATCGGTGAATTACGGTTTGCGTTTTCTTCTCTATACTCCTAAATTTTTCTTAAGTTGATTCGCTTTAAAGACTAATTTTTGTTTTAGGATAGTTTAAATTTGTGCATTTACTTTCGTTTCTCTCCTATGCACAAATTTAGGGGGAGAAATAAAAACAAAACAAAAACATTAGAAAAACAAAAAATCAAAAATGTGGTGTTAATGGAATGTGCTTGCGGGAGATGTTTTGGGAAGTGATATTATCAAGTGATAACGGGCAACCTGATTCTGCATAACGTACCCAAAGTTGAAGGATCTTTGCTCTGACTTGATGCGTCGGTAGGCACGAAAAATTCTAAATGGACTTGACTAGGCAGAGTTGAACTTAGGAAATTCTTAGTCTTGACAAATCTTGACCTAGTTAGATTCGTTCAGCCTGACAATACGACGCTCGGATAGGTTGAGTAGGGAGATATACATGAGAATCTACCCGTCACATTAATTGAACCCGTACTTGGAACCGTGGCTTAACTTTTCCTTGATGTGCGGATTTTGTCCTTAATTACGGTTGGATAGGGCGACTGGTAAATTCCAATAAATTAGGTCTGTAGAATATCATTTTCTTTCTTTCCGTCTGTTAGTCATATGTTGCACCCTTTGCGTGATTGGAAGAGATCCGACCTGGATTGAAACATATGCAACTCTATTTCTCTGCAAGTTATATATATGAAATTCTTCTTATCTGTTAGCCATATGTTGTCTCCTTTGCGTGACTTCTAATTCGACCTGGTACACAACATATGCAACTTTCTACTTCTCAACCCCTCTAAAGTGATAAGTTATTAAATTCTGAATCTATCTTCTCTCTGAATGGTTGTCTGCTCACCCGGTGTAAGGAGTACTCTGGAAGTTCTTGATGGCTGGGGCATATCAGGAAGCGGGAAACATGTTCCAGTACACTTAAAATTGAACTCATACAGATTGTTTATAGATCTCGCTGCTCAATTTAGGTGGACAACAATATCCTTGGTCGTCGTCAGATGAATGGTCCTGAAGATATAGTATTTAAAGAATTAGGATCATATGTAAATTTTAGGATTTTAAGTTCACCCTGTCTTGTAACAAATAGTATGTCCTAAATCTGTCATAATTTTTCGTGTTTAAGTGGACCACAATA